AAAAAGTGAGAACTGTCAGAACTTTCCTAATCTCTTTATCATGACTCAGTCATGTATGCAAACTTCTTCCTTACTGGTTTAAACCCAAGCATGTAGGATTGCATGGTGTACCAGTCCCTTGGTCTAATTGTTTCCATGTGTCTTTGGTTTTTTCTTCATTATTCTTTCTTCTTGACGAGGAGAGACCTGTTGTTGCATCTAGATGGCATCTTCTTAGCTTTTAAGATCCCAGTCGCTACTCATCAAAGTAGGATGTGGAACAATGTTTTGTGTAGTATATTATGCCAGTTGCGCTTAATGTCCCCTGTGACTGTGGTCCCGAGCCCACAGATCAACTAGTCACTCCCTCTGGGTAGCTGGCTGTGACCAAGAAGTGACTACATCCTTGTCCCTTCTCAGCTCCACCATATATATACCTGGGAATTCTTACAGAGCATACAAATACACTTGTAGACTCATTGTCTGCCAACCCTAAACATGGTCTTGCGCATACTTCCCCCTGCGCAGACATACCTAAGAGTTCAGCCTGTCCACCCATATATCCATGTTTGCCTTCACTGACAACGCAGTACTACATGTGCAAAAGGGTTCATCTTTGTTGACACCCAGACATTCTTATAGCACATATAAATATGTATGTAGAAACATTTTCTGCTAATGTTATACACTATCATGGTCACTCCCCTCTTGCCTAGACATACCTGATCGTTTAGCCTGTCCACCCATGTCTCCACCTGTAGATCAATGCTTGCTATCATTGATAATACAGTATAAGCGAATGGGTTCATCTTTGTTGCCAAGACTAATAACTCTTCTGATTCTTTATCTCCCATGATCCTTCTTCCATGCTTGGAAGGTGGTTAAGAGATGGGTATCATCATTATACCCTGGAAACTTGTTAGAAATGCAGATTCTCTGGTCCCCCCCTAGGCCCCCCCCCCCCCCCAAAAAAAACCTCACTGTCATCAAGTTGATACTGACTCATAGTGAGCCCCTTTGGGTTTCCGAGGTGGTAAATCTTTATGGAAGTTGATTGCTGTTCTCCCATGATTAATTGTTCGAAGGAGTGT